ATTCGATACATGACAAAACATGCGCTCTGCAAAAGCCAACGGGGTCCGCGTCTGCATGAAACCGCCCAGCCGCATGTATATTTTGCGAGCAGGCCGCTGAGCATTTATCCGCGCAGACGCATAAGCTTTGGGGCCCATAATCTTGCGCTGATCGCCGACAGGCCGCGTGCGAGATAGTGCGCGCACGCTTTCTTTGCCTGTATCGAACTGCGCGCGACTGGCTCGGCCCGACGCATGGAGCGAGGTTCGACATTGATAACGAAGTCTGGGCAACGCTCGTCGACAACATCTACCGCAGGAGAGCGCCATGCATTCAAGTCGCCATCACAAACATCTTCCTCGAAAACCAGTTGGACGAAGAGTATCCACTTGTTGTGCGCTGCGAAACTAACGATGTGATCGGTGATGCCAGCAATCTTTTGTTCCGTTTATGGGAGTTGTTTGGCCATCTTTGTTGCTCACCCCACTGGCCGTCTTCTTTTGTTCGGGTTGATTTATCATTTGTGTCGTCATATTTTCCTCATCTGTTGATGTAGCATGGTGCGCTACATGGCCTCATTCAACGTTTCTGGTACAACAATAGTTGATGCTCGTAATACAAGTTGATGCCAGGGGACATCATATGACCGTGGTCCTTTTTTGAATCACGTTTGGTTCGAGCCGCGCCCCATACATTTGTTTAAACACGTCTGTATGTATATATGTATATATATATACACACATGCATGACCTGTTGCTGGGTAAGTATTATCACGCGCACTTTTCCGAGGGACCTCCAAGGAGGAATCGCGCGGCGTCAGTCTTTCACACAAGCGGCAGTTTCGGAGAGGATATTCTGTACATTTGGAGACCACATCTGGTCCAACAACTCCATCTTCTTTGAGGACCCCCGTCAAGTAGGTCTTCTCGGGCAGATAGGTGAGAGCCGAGCGTCCACGCAGGATATTGCGTACAACCTGACGCGTGTGAGCGTCATTATCGGCAATGACGCCAGTATCCTTGATGTCGCACTTCACCACTATGTACCGACCAGGCCCGTCATCGATATGGGGTTGATATGCTGGGTTGATCTTCGTACGCCTGGCGGTGCGTAGACATTCCCAATATTATGCACTCAACCGGCATTTCGAGAGTAAGAGCAGGTTGCCCCGGGGAACTTTGATCTGGCTTATCAGTCCGTCCTGCAGAATTGGCTGCTGCCGATGCTGCAGGTGCGCGGGCACCTGCTGATGATGAGGCGGCGCCCGCTGATCCTCTTGGAGTCCGAGGGGTGCTCCGAAGGGTACTGATGTCGAAGTCCTGACGTTTCCTTTCACTGATGTTGTAATACTCGCACCTTTTGTCTTTAGGAGCTGCCCCTGATGCCTTTGATGTAGTTTCCTGCAGTTTCTTTTCGGCACCGCGCCTCGATGAAGAAGCATCCTTCGATGATCCCTCCAGTGTCGGCGTCCAGCCAGTCCTGTATGTATACATGTATGTATGAATTACATGTCCACTGCTGATTTGAATCGCAACAGCATTTACGTTAGACGTAGTTTGTTGGCAACCGAACTTATGCTTAAGGTTTGTCTCTTGTGATGCAGGAGCTAATGCGGTTTCTCGTGACGCGCAATTCGTGTGTTGATTCCAGAAGTAGCATGTGTATTTTGTTGCAAGTGCCGGCCGTGCAATTGCATTACCCGGGTTCTGCCTTTCTTTATTGCCGATCTGTTTCGTCCCGCCGTGCCTTCGATCGTTCTTGGTCCTGGCGTTGCCTTCCGTTGATGGCATTTTTTCGTTCGGCCCTGTTCGCGAGTGCTTCGGGCCTTGGTGCGTCACTTCCCTTGCCGCCCTTCGCCTTCGTTCGGCTTTGTTCCCGATCGTTCGGGCTTCATTCCCTCTTTGATTTTTTTCATGTTGCCCCCGATTTCCCTCATCTCGGACTTGTCCTCGACTGTCCGTGGCCGAACTCCTTCACGCCGCCGTGTCCCTGGCTGTCGCTGGCCCTGGTTTTGCCGACGGTCCTCGACCCTGGCCCCGGTGCTGCCCTCCGCTGCCCCGAATCTTTTTTGCCTGCTGTGTCCCAAGCTGTTCCCCAACATTCGCAGTGCTGCTTTTTTCCTTCTGCTCCCCTGCGGCCATCTCGTGTCTGATCGCTGCATTTTGCAGGCTCTTGGCGCGGTCTGGAGGCCGTTCTGGAAGTCGTCTTGGACTGTTCCAGGGAGGTCCTGGGCACGCTTTGGGAGGGATCGGCGCGTCGGAGAGATACTTTTGACACGCTTCGAGGTCGTTTGGGCCCGTCTTCGGATCGCTTTGGTCCACTTTAGGTTAGTTACTTTGATGCCATTGCGCTTCGTTTTGTATGCGTATTTATCTTGTCCTTGTGGTCTATGTTTTTTCATGCAGTCGTTTTGTGTGGCAGCAGCGTCACCTGCGCCCGTATCCGAAGCACAACGAGCACCATCAACAATATCAACATGAAGCTATGAGCAATACCAGTTGACGCAGCTATAGGACTGGACGAAGCTGCGACCGCTGCACCTTCAAGCCATTTCCGCCATTACGAGTCGTCGCAGCCTGCATAATCACGACATTCATCCGCAAACCACATGCAATGCCCGTCTTGCGTCACAAGTACAGTCGTCCTCCCTGGCATAGCATTGATTGATAGGGTGCATCATTGCATCGCACAGTGTATAATAGTGTATCATACCAGTTTGTGGCATAGCAATGCTGTTCGTGTTTCTCGCCTGGCGTAGCGCATCGCGCATCGGTGAGATATCGTGCTATTTCGAGGTTTCGTGGATGATGTGATGGTGAGTGCCATTGTATAGCAAATTCTATAACATGTCGGTACACCATTCGATATTAGGGTGGCAGTGCATAGTTGTAACATTGCATACCGAAACACACCATGCGTTATTGTGACGTGGTATGGCGTATGATAGCATAGCATGGCATTGCATTTGCACAACATTACGTTACGTTGCAGTGCTCCCTGTAGCATGGTGCAGCAACGCGTGGCGTAGCACATCATATCGGAGTCATATGATATCATGGCGTATCATGGCCCTTGGTATATCATGACAATCATAGTGCGGTACACCATGTCATTGCATCAGGGTCGCGTGGTACAACATGGCCAAGTAGATCATTGTGTATACCCGCACTGCGTATGATGAACCTGTGTTGTGTATACTGCTATTGTACGTCTATATCACAGGCCTCTGCAGCATCACATTGCAGATCTTAGCATGCAATTGCATATCACAGTATTGCATACAATAGTTTTTAAAGAGGGTGTCTCACGTAGTGGCACGGCATCTCATGGTATTGCATTCATTGCCATAGTATATCATGGCATCGCCGCATAGAGTGCAACACGTAAACGACTGTCACGATGCTCCATTCATCAGGTTCTGAGGGCCTGGTGCTCCGTACATCAGGTTCTGAGGGCCCAGAACAAATCGGGATTTGGCCCAACCGCACCTGTTCACCAACGGAGTTTGGACCCATTGGCCACAGCCAGTTTGTGGACAAGTCAAGAGGACACTTGAGCCAACACTGACTCTTGCTGTTTTTTTCTCCCAAGGACCATTCGTCAGGGCTCCCAGGGCAATCACACACTTATTATTTCATTGACGTGTTTTGAGTGCTGGGTGCCACGTACTGCGAGATGTGCGCGGTGTCGTATGTGGTGTGGGCTGTAGCGTGGTGACTGGTGTCCAGTGCGTAGTGTTTGGTTTGGCAGGCGATGGACAGAGGTGATGCGTTATGTATGTTGCACGGTTGTGCGGTGGGTGTGCGGTGCGGGATGTAGAGTCGCGTCTAGTACCTCGTGTCTGGTGTGTCGTGTTCTGGTATTGCGTGATTTGTGGTTCGTTGTGCGTGGCGTGGCGTGGGGCCCCTTTGTGGTGCCTGGTGTCCGACCGCTGGGAGTGATGCGCGTGCGGGGTCATGTGGTGTGCCGTGCGGTGCGTGGCCTGGGGTCCCAGGAGCAAAGCCCTTATGTGTGGAAGGAGGGTAAGGGAGGATCGAGAACCTGCCACTTACAGATGCGGATAATCTGAGGCTCAACGCAGATACAGAGGAGCGTGTTTTCTCATTATTTCGCGACCGACCCCACGAACATGCCAGATCCAAATGGACAGGTGTGTCACTTGTATTCGTCACAATCTCAGCTCATTTCGTTCGCGGGAGTGACATCGTCCCAATGCAATGTTGGTGGTCCGTCGTCATGTATTTCATTGTTATCGTCAGCCGTCCAGGGTCAAACCATTCTGTTGAAGCCGGTTGGCACAAGGCTCCTCGATCTCGAGGGCTACCTCTCAGGTAGCTTGTGAAATTCTATACTCATGCTGCAGTCTCCGCTACGCACAGCATTCACGCTGGTGGGCGTTCTTATTCCTTCGGCGTCAACACGCGTGAACCATGGTGTTGTCTTGGATATGAATAAGACGCAATCGCTTGGGGGTGGGCAGGTGATACGGTCGAGCTGCTATTCATTTGGAAACGATGATCTCACGTGCGGGAAATGTGTGGCTGAGAAGACTTATTGGGGCGGCGAGGACTGTGTGTGGTGTGTTAACCGCGATAATTATCTCCAGAATCCGGCATCTGCGGTCTCAGGAGGCACGTGCCAGACAAGGGGCTCATGCACGCGCCTCGGTAGTAGCTGGACGGAGCTAGTCCCCTCAGACTGTCTTGGCATAGGAGCAGACGGAGAGGTCGGGTTTGGCCTCGGAAGTGGCTTAGACATGTGCAGCTCCGCAAGCAATGGCGACCCTCGTGTCAAGTTGGGCACGTTACGTTGGCCTGTCCAGTTCACATACGGCGATTCTTCGATGGCGTACGACTTGATGGGAGCAATGGCAGGGTCTCAGATCCCACACGGGCATGATGCAACGGGTCGCTTGATTGGCACCGTTGTCAAGTTCAGTCTTCAAGCTTTCAATCATCAAATGAAGAAGTGGTCGGAAGAGGGAGATGAAGCAGATGAGGGCACAAAGGAGGTCCGCTTCTTACCCAAGATCTTAAATAGTATCCAGTTGCGCTGGTGCGCATAATTAATACCGCTCTCGGGGAGTCTGCTAAGCACTGCACTAATGTGGAAGGGTGGTGGCGTTGCATGGTTATCGTGATTCATCTCGTGGGTGTTTGCGGGGCCTTGGGGGGCCTCTTGGGGGCTATTTGTTTTTTTGGCTGGGGGGCTCTCGGGGGGTCTTTGGGCCGCATAGGGGTCTCGAGTATGCTTTGGGCCGTCCTACACTTATCCTGGAGGGGGTCTTGGAGTCTTTGGCCGTCTTCACTCGTCATGAGGCCATCTTGGGCTAGTCGAGGTGCTTTCTGGGCTGAGGTTCCGCCCTGAGCGGGCCGAAGCCAGATTGTAGGCCATCGAAGGCCCTCTCGATCCCGCCGCAGTGAAACCGTACATGTTCGGTAGTTGGTTTCAATCGGCCTTTTGAGGGTAGTCTTAGATTGGCCATTTTGAGTCCTTGGGGCGTCTTGGGCGGTCTTGCTGGCGTCGCCAGTGTTTGGGTCCGAACCCAATGTGAGGAAAGCTTGGGGACCATCCCATGACGGCCGTAGGCCCTCCCGGCCCTCCAGAGTCGGTGTTGGATCGTCTTGGGACCGTTGTATGCCTCCCAGAGTGCTCCAGGAGCTTAGGGTCTTATTGTGGTCTGCCATTCACAGCACTGTAAAATGAGCATATTTAGTTCGAGAAGGCCACATTTCCAACTGCAGTATAATATGTTCGGATCAGTTTCGGGGGGCGCCTAGCTTTTGCTTCGCAAGAAGCGGTACTTGGTCACGCTTGAACGCATCCGATTTAAATTATGATCGAACTTTGCAATATCAACATAGCATCAGGGCTTCGCGCATCTGACGCGCTGCGGTCGCGAAGGCGGATTCCCGTCTTGCTGTCTGAAGGTGATGGAATGTACCGAGCGGACCCGACAGAATTCAAGCCAGATTCTCTGGCTTTGGGGTATCGGAACAGTAAAAATTTAGACGACTTCGACCCGCGCCCAGGAGTGATCTGGGGCAACGCGGTTCAAGGTGTGGACGAAGGTGACGGCTGGGTGAAGGTGGAAGTTTGGCCCATGGACTCAAAGATGGATAAACGTGCTGCTGTCGCTGCAAAGCTGCAAAAGAGGCCAGAGGTGGCGCACAACCTTTTAGTTTATGCAATAGCTTCGCTCATTCCGTCGGCCCGATAGTAGCATCACTGGCACTTACCTGCGTGCTCGCGGGGGATGTTTGAAACTTCCTGGGGCCTCCTGGGGGCCTCCTGGGGCCTCGTTGGGGCCTCTTTTTTGGGGGGGCGACCGTGGGGCCTCTTAACGGCCTCTTGAGGGCCTCGTGGCAGTTTCGGAGGCCATCTTTGGGGGAAAGGCTGGGATTCTAAGTTCGGGGTCCCCCTTGTGGGCCCCTCTTGGGAGCCTCTTGAGCTCTCTTGGGGGGCCTCTTGGCTTTCTTGGGACCCTCTTGGGCCGTCTTGGGGCCCTCTTGGGGGCCCTTTGGGCCGTCTTGGGGCGATTTCGGGAGCCTCTTGAGCAGTCTTGGAGCATTGGAAGCCCAAGAAGGCGAGATCATAAAATCTTTCTGGGTCCTCTGAGGTGTCCTCTTTTGGCGCTCTTGAGGTGTTTGCGGGCTTCTTGGACCGTCAAGAAACCATCTTGGACGTCTTGGAGCGCTCTTGGACCCTCTTGGGCTCTCCTGCAGGCCCTCTGGAACGCTCCTGGCACGATCTTGGGGTCCGTGAAGGACGTGGCCGGGATGAGAACCATCTTTGAACCGATTCGGGCGGGGGTCTCTCAGGGTACTTCTTGTTCGGGAACCTCCAGGGGCCGCCGCGAAGTAAAAATCTTCTGAACCTGCTACCAAGGATTCTGGCAGGCCTCTTGCCCGTTGGGCCCGCGAATTCAGCGCGTGCTCCGATCGCCGAGCAGTTGGGCTACGAGGCACTTCACATGCGCGAATGCTCAGACAGCTCCGGCAAGGTGACGACAAATTCTGCTTGGGATGGGGGCAGCGAAATCTTTGGCGAGTTGGACGATCGAACGATCGTCACTCCACGCGGCGAGCGGCACTACTTCGAAACACGCTTGATACCAGAGGTCATAAAGCACGTCAGGAAGAAATGGGACGACGGCACCGCTTGGACGAGGAAGAAGCGGAATGGGGCTAATAGTGAGCTTGTGGAGTGGTGGATGAAGGCGCTAGGAAAGGAAACAGATTTGGAATGGTGCGCTGAAGGAAAGGACGTCCCTAAAGAAGCCGTCAGCAAGGCCATGATTTATTATGCTGACAGCGTGGAGACGCGGGCCAAGAACCAAGACAAGAGAGTATCGATCTGGCAGCAGTCGGAGGAGTACAGGCAGACGTGGGCAGCAGTCAAGGGTTATCTCGATACCATAACATTGCCTGCTGATCCTCCACATGTCATGGCGAAGCGGTTCTATACAAATACTAACGATGTCTATCCTTACCGGCCCTATGACAGGGTGACGCGAGCGTGGCCTATATCCGACTACGAGACGACAAGCACGCATCCGACACAAACTTTTCGCATGACATCGAGCGGAAAGGCGGTCATGCGCCTCTCTGCTGGCGACCTCGGCGTTCTCACCACAGTGCCCATGGATTGGAACCTGAATCTTGTTGGACTGGCAGAGGACTCCACCGGCAGAGTGTATCCAAATCCGCTGCTTAGGAGTCGTGCCCTGTGACCTCGAGGAGTGGCGGATATGAATACCTTCCCGCCCCTGAGGGCGGGAGTAGGTCACCTCCCACCACTCCCTAAGGGACCCAGAGTATGACTCCATAAGTTGTGGACGCGGATGTTTCTTGGCGGTGGAAGGACTTGCTGCTCGCAATGGGCAGTGCGTGCTGCCCGGGACCCAAACCGTGCCCCTCCGAGTGAGATGTCCAGCGACCGCGACCGCTCAGCAAACAGGGCATCGGTCAGCGTCGGAAGGATCATCACGATCATCATCCCAGGCTCGACGTCTTTCGTGCATTGAGCCCGCGGTCCCAGACCTCTCCGTTCTGTTTTTGGTTACCATCGTCGACACATGTTTCGAGCGATCTCGGCTGCTAGTTGTTGTTGTATTTCTCTGGACGTGCAAGATCGCTGATTTCTCATCGGATCATGGAGCCGCCTGCTCCACCTTTCTCAGTACCTCCAACGCGTCAGCATCCTGCACCATGCCTCGGAGCTCCTCGAGCCGAGGTCACGCCAGTGCAAGAATGCCCGGGCCCATCGGGTATCCAGGGTCATGTCGTGTCCCCCCGGGAAGGACAGACAATTTTTCCGGGCTTTGTCATGGTCGACTTGATTTTGCGTTCCAGGCTCCACGTGCGCATGCGCGCTGAATCAACCGTGTCGGCTCCCCCACGGTCCGATGGTAGGTTCATGTCCATGTATGCCTATCATTTTCGATCGGATAACCATGCTCACAACAGGCCGCCAGTAGCACCAGCGACACACTCAAGAAACACGACACGAGTATCGGATCTCCTGGAGGCTCTTTTGTGCCATGGTGTCAAGATCCGAGCTGATCAAGTATTTCAGATCTTAGGTATCGTCGCTCAACCTAGTGCAGACCAGGTCCCAGCCCATTCCAGCCGAATCCCAGCAAGCAGGTCCAGCCCAGACCAATCCAGCCCTCCCAGGGGCGTCTAACCTGTCTCAGTTCAGATGTTCCTTCTCAGTTTTATCTTCGTTGTGCTTCTTACTTGATTCATCTTGCGGGCCGGCAGAAATTTCGTCTACGATGTGGTTCCTTCCGTGTTGCGCATTCTTTTTCTCCGACCTGTTCCCCGTCTTCCTTCCTGTACGGTCCAGTTTCCGCCCGATTCCTCCTCTGTTCTCTCTTTCTCTTTCTCTTGTGCTTTTCCTCTCATTCTCTCTGCAATCATCCCTTCAGCCCTCTCTCGCGAAACCCTTCGACTCCCAGAGACCGCTCGCTGGTCTACAATCACCTCTTGCTCCGACGCGATGCCCCCCCACACATCGGAGGAAAGAGGTGCGGCACCGCGACCGCCGGGGCGAACCTCGCCCCCCCCCCCCCCCCGATGAGGTCCACGATGCCTCCCCGAGCTGGAGATGTTGCAGACGCCTCCCCCCCCACAGCGAGGAGGTCCACCATGCCTCCCCGAGCTGGAGATGTTGCACGTGCCCTTCCCCACCAGCGACGAGGTCCACGATGCCTCCCCGAGCTGGAGATGTTGCAGATGCCCTCCCCCCCCACAGCGAGGAGGTCCACGATGCCTCCCCGAGCTGGAGGTGTTGCAGACGCCCTCTCCCCCCCGAGCTGGAGATGTACTGCAGACGCCTCGAGGGGCGGGTCGGCGAGGAGCGGCGGCGCCACACGCCGCCTCGTGGGCCCCCCCCCTTCGCTCTTGGCCGCGGCAGCGGGGACGTCGCCTCGGCGTGACCCCAAGAAACTAATACCATGTGTGCGTCGCCTTCGGGCTGGCCGCGCCACGCGCTCGAGGCGTGACCCGTCCCCCTGAGCGGCTCGCTTCTCCCGCCCCCTCTTTGGGCCGCGCCCTCCTCCTCCTCCTCCTCCTCCTCCTCCTCCTCCTCCTTCTGCACGGTGGCACGATTCGCTTTCACGGCACCCTCGGTTAGGCCTTTCCGCCGACGCAACAAATATGCGTCGCCACCCATGGGCGACGCGCGCACCGAGAAGTTTCACATAATATGCGTCGTGGCAGGCGCTTCCCGGCCACACCGCTGGGGAAAGGAGCTACTACAAGATGGGTCTACTATGTGTTCGGGTCGGGGCCGCGCCTACAAGGAGGACATAGAGTACTAGTATGTCTCAGTGCGGCCCACTCCCCGCTCTTGCCCACACTTCTCGCAGTTCCTGCGCCTTTTTTTGTTTTGTTTTGTTGTTGTTGTTGTTGTTGTTGTTGTTGTTGTTGTTGTTGTTGTTGTTGTTGTTGTTGTTGTTGTTGTTGTTGTTGTTGTTGTTGTTGTTTTTTCTTGTTTCAGTCCATCGGTGTTGCTCTCGCCTCGCGGCCACGTCCGTGCCGGCGGCCGCCGTTCTCCGCGCGGCTTGTTGCCCAGGGCGGTGGGCTTGCCCTGCGCGTCGCGGCTCTCTCTTGGCCTCCTGGGGCGGAGAGGTGCGGTGGTCGGGTTCCAGTGCTCCAGGTCACCCGCGGTGGCGCGAAGATCGGGGGCGGCAAAGAGGGGGGTGATGACTAGGGGGAGGTGGACATCATGGCGTGGGCCATGATATCTCCCCAGATCTCATGGCGCCTCGTCTTGTTTCGGAAGAGGCTCGCTCTCGACCCGCAGACAAAAAAACGAAGAAGAAAAAACCTCTTGGACGCCCCCCTCTCGGCCGCCCCCGAGAAGGCAGTGGCCCTTGGAGGGTCGCGGCATGGGCCGGAGCGGCTGCCCTGCTCCGGGAGGGCGGCGCGAGGGCGCGAGGGCGCGAGGGCGCGAGGGCGCGCGGAAGTCCGGTGTTTCCGGCTCTCGGGTAGCCTTATGTCGGGCCTGTCTCCCTACAGGGGGATTTTCGACGAAAAATAAAAGTTATTCTAAAAATATTTTCAAATGATGAAACAATACTCAAAAAATAGTTCCCAGACTATTTTTGGTTTATTGTTTGATTATTTTTGTGGTATCATTCTATTATTCGTCGAAAATTCCCCTGTAGGGGGACACGCTCGACAAAAGGGTAGCCCCCGAAGAGGTGTGCACCGCCGCCAGGCCTGCACGTGCCCACGTCGGGCCCTGAATGGGTTTGCGCACCCTCCTGGGCCGCGCCAGACGGGGGTGCGCGTCATTTCTGGGCCCAAGCCCGGCTCGAGCTGCCCCGGCGGTGGTGTATGGGTGTTCTTCGTTGCTGGTGCAGATTCTGAGCTTGGGTGAGTTCTTCCTCACAGAGACTTGCCGCGACCTTCGGGAAGTGGGCCCTCAAAACATCTGGCAGGCTCTGCATTCAGCTCACTTTTCAGTTGGCTTTCGTTGTCTGGGCTATTGTTCGGCTTCAGAAGGCTGCGGCTTCAGAAGGCCGCTTGGGGCAAAACAGACGCACCAAGGGAGAACCGTCGATCTCGAGCAGCTGGCTTGGCTAATCCGTGCCGACCTCTTTACCCTGCTCCTCCTAGTCGTCCTTCCCCTCCTGCTCCTCGTGCCCGCTCTTCGCTCTGTCCTCCCCCTCCTCCCCCTCCTTCTTCTCTTCCTCCTCCTCCTCCTCCTCCTCCTCCTCCTCCTCCTCCTCCTCCTCCTCCTCTTGCTCCTCCTCACCACCGAGATTACGGCCGGGAGCTCCTGGTCAGCGTGTCGCGCAGCTGGTTTTGGCCCACCGTGCTTCGGCGCGACGCGCCAACCACTTCGGGCCCCCCGATCGTCGGCGTCCCGAGCCTCTCCAGGCATCTCGCGCCGCGGAGCGGGCCGACGCTCGCAGGGCACAGCGTGTCGCCAGGGCTGTCGCCGCGACACGCTAAGCAAAAGTTCCTGACCGTATCCTCCTCCTCCTCTTCCTCCTCCTCCTCCTCCTCCTCCTCTTGCTCCTCCTCCTCCTCCTCCTCCTCTTCCCCCTCCTCAGGACTTAAGAGGCCTGTTGTCCCCAGTTGGCCCATGCCTCCAGCGACTGGCCTCCGACAAGGGAGCGAGGGAGGGAAGGGTGGGGAGCGAGAGGTGACAGATACGGGGAGGTGACGGGAGGGTGGGGGGAGGGCAAGGCAAGGACCGCAAGGTGATGTGTTCCAGGATGTCCCAGTAGACGATCTGACGCGAAGGCGCTGGGATGACCAAGCTGAGCAGCCGAACTTCTGAATCCAGCAATCTGAACGCGAGTGCGCCCAAACTGGGCAATCCCAGCGCGCAGGCGCCCAAATCGGCAGTCGGAGAACCAGGGCGCCCGAGTGAGTCACCTGAGAATCAGGGCGTGTGCGTGGGGACAGGAGGCCGGAAGGGGGAGGGAACAGGGAGGTACCCTTTCTGCAGGAGGAAAAAGTGGGGCGAGGCGAGCGGAGGTCTCTGGGAGGTCTCTGGAGGTCCCCAGTTGTTGTTGTTGTTGTTGTTGCCTCGGGAGGCCTCCAGAAATGCCAAGAGCCACAAAAGCGCCCAAGTGCCTCTCTCCTTCTGCCGCTCCCCCCCAGGCGTCTGACGTCGTTTTTTTTTTTTTTTTTTGTTTTTTTGTTTTTTTTGTTGTTGTTGTGTTGTTGTTGTTGTTGTTGTTGTTGTTGTTGTTGTTGTTGTTGTTGTTGTTGTTGTTGTTGTTGTTGTTGTTGTTGTTGTTGTTGTTGTTGTTGTTGTTGTTGTTGTTGTTTGTTGTTGTTGTTGTTGTTGTTGTTGTTGTTGTTGTTGTTGTTGTTGTTGTTGTTGTTGTTGTTGTTGTTGTTGTTGTTGTTGTTGTTGTTGTTGTTGTTGTTGTTGTTGTTGTTGTTGTTTGTTTTTTGTGCTGTTTTTATTGTTTTGTGCTGTTTTTATTGCTTTGTTTTTTGTTCAGTACGGACCCCTGGAAGACTCGACCCCATCCCGTCGGACATTTGCTCAAGCCTAGGCTGCTTATTGATGATCCCAGGGCCCGGGAACAGGTTTGCAGATGCCGAAAGAACATCGTGAAAGCTGGCCGTCACGATTTTGTCCAGACGTTTGAGGTCTGAGTCCTTCCATCCTCCTCCTCCTCTTGCTCCTCCGGGAGGAGCAGGCAGTCTGCCCTCCTCCTCTGCTTCCATGTCCCCCTCACCCTCCTCCTTCTCTGTTTCCATCCTTCTTCCTCATGGATAGCTCCTCGTTGCGTGCCGGTAGCGCGGGCCAGGTGTTTCGCTTGAATTTTCCTCACCGGTTGCGATCTTCAAGTTTTAAGTCTAAATGCTGATTACAAGGCGGGAGGGTGGATGGTGTTCAAAATGTGGATCTCGCTAGAGCGTCGCGCACGCTCGCTTGATAAGTGTCCAACAGCTACAAGGGAGGATGGCGACTTGTCGTCAAAATGCGGCCCTCGCCCTACCGCCGTGCACATTCGTCTTCGAGGTTTCCAACGGAAAGAGGGATGTAGGGCTGATCTTTTCCGGAGTGTCTCTCTCGCCCCAGCGCCGCGCACAATCGTCTCATATGGTGCCAACAAGGACAATGATGTAGGTTTAGGGAAGCCAAAACGGTTCCAAGAGTGCCCCACCACTGGCCAAGAGGGCCAAGGGAGTGCCGAGTCGCCCAAACATCGTTCTTCCGAGACGCCCAGCGTGGTCCGAAGCTGGCTAAAGAGGCACGCAAGACGATCCAAGAGAGCCCCACCCCTAATGTGTGGCTCTCGACCCAGCGGCGCGCAGAGTCGTCTCAAAAGGTTTCCATCGCGAGTCGTTTCCACGGTGCGGCTCCCGCCCGAGCGCCGCCCGCGCACGCTCGCCTGACGAGCTCTCAACGGTTACAGGGAAGGAGGGCGGTTCCTTTGCAAGACACGGCTATCGCCTGCGACGACCTCGAACACTACGATTGGAAGTGTAGCCTTGTGCGAGAGGTGCAAGGATGGAGGGCGGCCTCTCTTCGAGCTGGGGCCCTCGCTTGAGACTTCCTGGGCAAGTCAGGCTACGCTTCGCGTATCCCTGCCAGCCCTCCAGATACGGTGCCCATGACAGTCGTTTGGACGAGGAGGTTGGAGGAGTGTATTAGTACGAGGAGCAGGATGGGGAGTAGGAACGGCAGAACAATGAGGAGCGGGAGGAGGAAGAGGACCAGGATGAGGAGGATGAACAAGGATGAGGAAGGAGGGAGAATGAGGAGAAAGATGAGGAGGAGGAGGAAGAAGAGGAGGAGGAGGGGGAGGAGGAGTAGGCCTTCGCGGATCTTGTGTCGTGAGGGCCTCTTGGAGGCCGCTCGGGGTTGTTTTGAGATCTTCTCGGGGTCCTCTCGGGGTCGTCTCGGAGCCCTCTTGGGGCCCACTTGGGGCTACCTCTGGGTGTCTTGACCCCCTTTGGGGCCCTCGGGGGGGGGGCCTTGCGGCCTTCTTGGGGCGATCGTGTGCCCAATTGCTTACAGGGGGGGCACAGGGGGGGGTGGGGGCTTCTTCCCCCCCCCCCCCCCCTCGGAAGCCGAAGCAGGTCTCATCTTGGAGCGCTCTTGGGGGCCTCTGGGGGCCGTCGTGGACCCTCTTGGGCTCCTCCTGACCATCTTGGGCCATCTTAGGGCCTCAGAGGCGAGCGTGCGAGAAGGCACACGTGATTGATTATCCAAAGAACTTGCCTCTTGGGGGGTCCCTTCGGGGGCTTCAGTACCACGCGGCTCTCAGCATGGGCAGGGGCCGCAATCGACAACCACCGGGGCATCCCTATCATCCTTGCCAGATAATAATGCAATGTGATCGTGGGGCGCCCGTTTATTGTTAAAACAATTCGCTGCAACATGCGTTTTGCATTTTTCAAACAGGGATGGTGGGCTTGCGCACACCAGGCAATGTGATGGCGCATCCGCCTTTCCTGTAAAGGACTAGTATAAAGTGATTGCGGAGCGCACGAGGATTGTTCAAAAATCTTGCAAGGTGCTCTCTGGCTATTGTTTTTTGCAAGGACGGTGGGGTTTGTCTGCATTGACTTTCGTTTATCCGAAGTCGGGTCGTGGGGAGGGTGCTTATCAATAGAGCGCAGAGATAGCCCTTCCCTGAATAGCTGAAGGGGTTTTGGAAGATTGAGGACAAGGGCCGTTATGCCACCTGCGCGCAGAGGGCCGGTGGGTGCAACCGCTGCACGGGGGTTCGGCAACTACGTTTCGACAGGGGTTGCCGCTGTTCGCTTCCTTTCGTTCGTGACCCTACCTTTTTGCATTCTTTTTCTTTGAAAGGATGCAGGGGTAACTCCTGTGCAAAACGGGACCCTCGCGTGAGTGGCAGGCCGTTCTGGCCCTCATCTTTCAGGGTGCGCTTCCCGTAGTGAAAAGGAATGCCTGTAGGGACTTATGAGGAGGGGATTTTGGGTGGGAGGGTGTCTTGCAGCATCGTTGACGCCGCTAGAGTTTACTCTGGTCCTTCTTCTCTCCTTCGTTCGAAGACCCCCTCGTTCGAAGACCTCCTTGTTGGAGGACCCCCTTGTTTCACACCGTGGACTCCCAGAGGTCTCGACCCCATCGCAGAGACCAGTTTCTCATGCCAGGTCATTTTCGATTGTTCAGTGACCCAGAAGTGGGTCTCGAGATGCCGAGACGGCGAACACTGTCCGTACTTGTTTGTTTCGTGACGTTGGAGGTTTGCGTCGTTGCTGCTCCTCCTCCACCTCTTCTTCCCAGAGGGGAAGACCCTCCTCCTTCTCCTCCTCTTCCCCTACTCCTCCACCTTCACGTCCTCCACTTCCGCATCCTCCCCTCCCCTCCTCAATCCTCGATCCTCGATCCTCGATCCCTCTCCGGAGGATCCTCGAGCCTCGACCCGCGTCCTCCTCTCCTCGATCCTCGAGCCTCCTCGATACTCGACCCTCCTAGAGAGGGGAGGACGCTGGGCGCGGGGAGAGACGCCCGGTGAGGGGGGGCCCAGGCCGGCGCCCAGCGCGGATGGCCAAGAAGGGCCGCCGCAGGCATGGAGGCGCGAGTGCGCGGGCGGCCACCCTCTGCGGGGGGTGGCCCCCGGGGAGGGCCGCGGGTGGGGAGGAGGAAGAGGTACCCACACGCAGGAGGCACCCGTGCACCACCGCCGTGCCTGGCCAGGGCCATCCTGGGCCCTTGCACGGTGCATACGCCTCCTGGCCGAGGCCAGGACGGTCTATACACCATCTTGGGGCCCAGTGTGGCCCTCGCCAGTCGCGGTGGTGGTGTAGAACTGCCGTCTGCGGAACCCATGCCGCTGCCGTTCCCTCGTTGTCGCCTTTTTTGGGGCCTCCCGGGAGGCCCTCGTCGCCACCGCCGTATTCGCTTCGAAATCCTGGTCAGGACGCACCCTGGGAGAGGTCCAGGGAGCAGCGGTATCATTGCCGTTCGATTTCCCCAGGTGGGGGGCTAGGGCGGCCCAAGAGGGCCCCACGGGACGCTGCTGCTGACGAGCACGAAGGACATGGAGCCGTGCCCTCTGGCCACGGCCAAGAGAGTCAAAGTGATTGATCCGTTTTCCCTGAGGCACGATCCTGTGTCGGCCACGCGCAGGAGGGGGGAGGGGGGAGTGGAGAAGGCTCCTTAGAATCACCCCTGCTTAGAAAGCGCGGGCCTTCTCTGTAGATGTCAGGCCGCCGCCTTCTAAGAAGCAGCCTCCTACCAAGAAGCCTTCCTACCTCCCCCGAGAAAGAGGGAGAGGAGGAGGAGGAGGAGGAGGAGGAGGAGGACGAGGAGGAGGAGGAGGAGGAGGAGGAGGAGGAGTAAGGAGGAGGAAGATGAGGAGGAGGAGGAGGAGGAGGAGTAGGAGGATGATGATGATGAGGAGGAGGAGGATGATGAGTACGACTAGTATTATGAGGACGAATAATAATGATATTAAGCGTAATCGTGATAATAAGAAAACTATTACACCAGAGAAAAACCCCAATCAGTGGATGGTTTTCGCTGACGAGATCGACCGGGAACCCAGGCGCCCGGGAACCCAGAGCCCACCGAAATTGGCCTGGAACCAATCAGCGGGAACCCTGAAACCCAGAACCGGGAACCCGGGAACCCAGCCTGCTACCAAAATCGGCGGGAAACCCTTCGCCAAATCTTTCAACTTCCGCTAGGACCCCTTCAGTGCAAGCGCTGATTGGGGAATACTAGTCGTAGCAATCATATAAGCGAGCATATTAATACGAGTCGTAGTACTAGTAACAATACTACGAGGCATACTAAGCTTAATCATTATACTAAGAAGACGAAGATCAGTACGACTAGTAATTCAAGTAGTATTACTACGGATATCATTAATCATACGAATACCACGGGTAATATTAATACGACGAATCACAGTACTCGCAATACTAATACGACGCCAGAAGTAATAATAAGACGATCGATGAGAGCACTACGAATACTAAGGCGAATACTCATGATACGAATAATAACTGTCCATACTAGTCATCAGGATATTACTATTCGTGATGCACATACTATTAATAGGACGAAGGTGGATCCGAATATAATATTGCTGTGATCAATAGCGCGACTAGTGTTGTTTACATGGAGGATGATAGTGGCAAGCATAGTATTAGTATTTACAGTAATAGTATTACTACCACTAATACTTTCAAATTAAGTGATACTGGCAATACTATTATTACTGATACCGATAACGATGCTACTACTAGTAGTAACGTGGCTATCAAATTTATATGGTATAAACATTGAGAATATTATGATGCCACTACCAATACCAATACTTATCATGATGGTAAGACTGATGTTTTAGTGAGAAGTAAAGAAGAAGTAGAGGAGGAGGAGGAGGAGGAGGAGGACGAGGAGGAGGAGGCGGATGAGGCGGAGGCGGAGGCGCAGACGGATGAGGTTGAGGAGGAGGAGGAGGAGAAGGAGGGAGGAGGAGGAGGAGGAGAAGGAGGAGGAGGAGGAGAAGGAGGAGGAGGAGGAGGACGAGGAGGAGGAGGAGGAGGAGGAGGGAGGAGGAGGAGGAGGAGGAGGAGGAGGAGGAGGAGGAGGAGGAGGAGGAGGAGGAGGATGAGAAGGAGGAGGAGGAGGAGGAGGAGTACACCCCTGTGCGGGCCGCCACCTAAGGCACGATTCTTCGGCCCAGGACATTCCAAAGAGAGCCCCAAGCTGGCCCAGGAATCATCAGAAAAAAAGGGCCCAGAACGGCCTCAGAGACGCGCTTGCCCCGTCGAGGAGGAGATGGGAGGGGAGGGGCGAGAGGAGGGAGGGTGGGGAGGATGTAGCGTGTGGAGGAGAAGGATGGTCTGAGCGGGCTCCTCCCTGCCCCTCCCTCGAGCTCCGTCGTGTTCGCCTTCGGGCCTCAATTCCCCTCTGGTGGACCCCACTGCTTGCTGACGGCGCTTGTCTGTCCCTGATCACTTGGCTCCCGCGGACTTAGAAAGTTGACGAGAAGCAAGATCGGGGGCAACGTCAGGGGGGATGTACCCAATGGGGAGATGCACCAACCCCCCATCGCCCATTCAACGTCGATAGGGGCCCAATAGCCCACCCCGCCCAGGACCGTGCGGATTTGCGAACGAGGGCCTATCGCCGATCAATCGGCGATGTGTCGCCGATCCCAGCTCGACGTTCCCCCCCCGCCCCCCACCCCCCCTTGAGCTGGTCCCCCCAAACCAGTTCTGGCAGTATTTATATGCCGTCCTGCCCGGCGTCGAAAGAGACACCGTGGCCCCCACCAACCACCCAGGCTCACTAAGTCCGCCCCCGTGTTGAAGTCGAGGAGTGAGGATGGAGGATGAGGAGAATGAGGAGGTTGAAGAGAATGAGGAGGATGAGCAGGAGGAGGATGAGCAGGAGGAGGAGGAGGATGAAGAGGACGAGGAGGAGGAGGAGAGCCAGAGTAATCTCAGGATGCATCGTAATATACACCCTCCTCAGAAGCACCTGAAAGTACTCTCCACGCTAGAACTCGCACCACCTTTTTCCTCCCTCCTCCTCCGCCCCCCTTTCTCTGTGCGGGACTCAACAACATGCACCACCTCCACCTCCAATTCCCCCCTTCCCTCCTTTACCCTCGTCTTCCTCTCCCTCTCTCCTGGGAGAGGTGCGGGACGAGGGACGTGTATCTTGGGGCCCCGTCAATCCTCTGCCCCTCGGTGCGACGCCGCCGTCAGCGTCGCCGGCGGCTGCGTCGACTGCCGCGCTCGGTCTCGCTGCTGCAGCGGGCGGCCCCCGCGGGCGGCCGCCAGGCGACCAGGCCGCTGCGCAGGCGGCGGCGCCTGACGCGCCAGCGGCTGGGGCGGCGCAGCCAGGAACGCGATGCCGCCGCCGCTTACGTCGTCTTGGAGGGTTTTTCGGGGCGCGGCTGGAGTTTCCTTGTCGCCACGGCTGGGCGCAGCCCCAGAACCCAGAGGTCCGGTGCTCCGACAACACTTGGAGCGGCCCGTTTTCGGCGAGGTTCGGCCTCGGGGGGCCCCTGCACGGGCCCCTATAGGACCGTCAAGAAGTGATGCTGGATGGCCCCAGGGAAGTGGTCCAGACCTCAAGGGGTCCACGCCTCGAAAAGGTGGGAGCGCCGGATATTTGGGAGCCTGGGCAGGGTGGGCCCCTGGAGGGATCTGGGGACTGGCTTTGAGCAGGTTTTGGTCGGTCGGCGCCGACGCCGACGACGGAGGCGGCGGCGGCGAGGGGGTGGGGAGCCACCACCGGGCCACCGCTGCCACCACGGGCCTCCTTTGCGACAGAGGTTGCAGCTGCCAGCGTTCTTCCGCATCTCGTGTCTCCACAGGCTCGTCTTGGGCCCGGGACGAAACAGTGATCCGTGCCGACGAGCCGGGTCACGAAGAATCCGTGCCCTCGCCGACTACACGTAAGAGTGACCTTTCGCCAGAGTGACCTGGTGCGGGCTCATCGGGGTCCCTCCGATTGCCGAGCGCGATGCGATAGCGGCTGCCTGCGTGCCCCGCGCCCCCCTCATCCTCGCACTAAAGGTGCTGTGCCCCCTTCATCCTGCGCCCCCTTCATCTGCGCCCCGCGCCGCCCCCTTCATCCTTTGCCGCGGCCTACGGTGCCGCAGCCTGCGGCCTGACCTGACCTGACCTGAAAGGTCATTCTTTCCCAGGGTCACTCTTGCGTGTAGCCGATGGGCCGCCACGGGAGGAAGTGCACGCCGCCACTGGGCATCCAGAGGCCCACCCTGGGCCGGACCTTGGTGCGCTCGTCCTCTGGGCCTGGGCCAGAGTGGGCTGGCGGAGGCCCGGTGGTGGTGGTGTTGCTGGCGTGCTCTCCCTCCCTCCCCTGTTCGGCGGCGAGGCCGGGGGGAAGTGAGCAGGGGCGGGCCTCCTCGGAGGGTTCGGAGCCTCCCGAGAGGTGCTCTGAGCCTTCCCCGCAGGCGCAGGAGACCTCCCAGGAGGCGCGAGGGCTGCCGAGCAGGCCCCGACGCCTTCCGAGAAGGCCTCCTCCTCGCTCCCCCCCGCCCGTCGCTCGCCGCGGGTGGCCCAGACCCTCGCACCCCGCTGGCGTGGAGCAGGCGAGTCCTGGGCTCCAGAGCCTCTCTCCCTCGGGACCGAGCGCATGCACGAGTCCCGGTGCCCGCGGCCGCCGCCCAGGCCGCGCCGCGCGGGGCGCGATGGTCTTCGCGCCCCCGCGGGTGGCCTGGACCCTCGCGCCTCCTTGCGGCGCCACCCACGTGCACTCACGATGATGTGCGCGTCGCCCCCGGAGGGGCGACGCGCGCGCGGCGACGCGCGCGCCGAGAAGCCCTGGAGTATGTGCTCCGTGGCGGATGCCTTCCGGCCACGCCGCTCCGGAAGCACCATTGTGCCACAAGATGGGTACACTGGATGTTCAGGTCGGTCGCACGCCTCCGATGAGGACACACAGTCCTAGTATGTCCTCGTGCGCCCCGTCACTGGCAGGAAGCAAACGGGTCCTGGACTCCAGAGCCTTTCCCCCGGGGACTGGGTGTACACCGGTTTCCGATGCCTGAGGCCGCCCGCGCGCTCCCCTTCCCGCAGACTCTCAGCGGTCGCTCCCTCCCTCCCTGCCTTCGCGGCCGCCCTCCTCTTCTCCACCTGCACAGGTCTGCTCTGGCGCGGGTCGCGCCCCGCCGGCTTGCAGATGCGTCAGCGACCGCCAGCGCTGCCGACAAAATTTCGTGCCTTTGCAGCGACATGACGTCGGCCGGAAGGGGAGCGCGATCACTGGTTCATCACTGATGCTGCAAAACGCCCTCCAGATCGTCCTGGTGCCCGCGCTGCCGGCATCTACCACCGCGTTCCGGCACCACGCCGCGCGAGGCGCAAGACGCATGAGAGGCGGAGGCGGAGAAGGACGATTAGGTCAGGGAGGATGAGGAGGCGGAGGAGGAGGATGAGGAAAAGGAGGAGGAGGAGGAGGGATAGATGGAGGGAGGGAGGGAGGAAGGGAGGAAGGGAGGAGGAGGAGGAGGGGGAGGGGGATGACGTTGCAGTGACGAGTGCCCGCACGGAGCAGAGGAGCGGCCAGCGGGGACGCGGGCGCCGCGGCCGGTGGTGCCGAGCGGAGCGCGCACGTCCTGTCGGCCAACATCGGAAAGATGCGGTTCATGCACAGCGCCCGCGAGGAGGAGGAGCGCCGGCAGCAGGAGACCCCGCGGGCCGGCGGCGTGGGGTCCTCTGCGGAAGGCCGTGAAGCACCGCCAACATGCTCGGAGGAGGAGAGGATACCGATACCGCGATACTTGCTCATCCCTGGTCTTCGCCCTTTTCGGGCCTCCTGGGACGTCCCCGTCGCTAGCGCTGGATTCGCCTCGAAGCTCTGGTCAGAGCGCCTCGCGGGAGAGGTCCGGGGAGCAGCGGCATCAGTATCTTCTGTTTCCCCCACACGCGCGGCCCTGGGCCAGGAAGGAGGGTCTGTGCACCATCCCAGGGACCGGGAGGGCCCCGGCCAGGCGTGGTGGGTGGTGGTGGTGGTGCACGGCTGCCGTCTGCGCAGGTTCGGGCAGGGAGGGGTCGAGGGAATGCGGTGGAGATGATGAGTCGAGTAGGGGATCGACTACAGAATTGGTTTTACCCCCGATTTTCTCGTCGACGGAAGAAGAATACGCAGGATGCTCGTGGATCATTCCACGTATCTGTCGCAGATTCGACGAGAACCAATTGTTGGGGTAAACCAATTTTGTAGTCCATCCCCTACTCGAGGGAGCTGGGACGGGGGGTTGGCAGGGGAAAGCGGGAAGCAGGCGAGGAAAATGCCGCAGGCGAGGCGCGGGGGGAGGAGGGCCCCGTCTCGCCGCTTGACCGCCCCGCTTCCTCTCGCGCCGCAGGTGCGCCCGGCCGCCCCCTCACTGGAGGCAGGCGTCGAGGAGTCAGCGTGTCAGGGGGAGGTTCGGGACTGGAAGGGTCTCGGACAGAGGAGGAGGAGGAGGAGGAGGAGGAGGGGGAGGAGGAGGAGGAGGAGGAGGAGGAGGAGGAGGAGGAGGAGAAGGAGGAGGAGGAGGAGGAGGAGGAGGAGAGGGACCAGAGTACACCCACTATTTCTAGGCCTCCCAGATGGGGTCCGAGTAGATGGGGTCGGAGGATCGCGCCGCATCGCCGATGCACCGGCGATGCGGCTCGATGTGGAGCCCGTGATTCCCCACGCCGACGTCGGCGATGCATCGTCATCGTCCCCGATGCATGGCCGACGCATCGTTACTGGGTGGGGGAGACGCATGCGGACACCGCCACGGGCGCCTTCGGTGGAGCTCCCCATGGGGCCACGAAGTGCTGTACTGGGTGGGGGGGGACGCATGCGGACACCGCCACTGGCGCCTTCGGTGGAGCTCCCCATGGGGCCACGAAGCGCTGTATTGGGAGGGGATCCCGCATGCGAGTGTAACCTCCGGGGCCTTTTCTGAAGCTCCCTTTTGGGGCCACGAAGCGCTGTACTGGGTGGGGATCCCGCG